TGGAAACAAGTACATCATATCAAGCTGAGTAATGACCAGTATTAGATATCCCCTGCGGTTTCTTACAGAATAAAATACTTTGCTTTTATAAAAGATGTTTGGGCATTGTTTTATTCAAGGATTTACAACACTTTAAATGTTTAAATCCTTAGATGTTTTTATATTAACTATTTATAAGTATTTATATTTATATATTAGCTGTATATTATCTGTACGTCATAAAAGTGCTGCATTAAAAATATTAGATTTTTTTGTTATGAAATTAGTTGGGAGTAAAAAAGTAAGTTAGAATCTGAAACTTTTTTTTTTTTTTTGATAACAGTCTAATTAATAGGGTCCCAAACTTGTTTGTGCCGTGGACCCCTTGCAATGTTTTTTGTTTTGTTATGGACCTCTGTATTAAAGTGATCACACGTACCGGTTTTTTATAAAATCAATTTTTGGCCCGGATTGTGCCGCGTTCTCATAAAGTATATGTTTAAATCGAATTTTTTTAGTACGATTTGTACTTTGCCACAAAATTCAGCTATCATTTGGTGAAAGTTTCTTCACAGCAAGCATCCTTTTGAGATCTGGGATTGGTATATGGTCGCTGAGGAACAAATCTAGAGAATATGGTAAAAAGGGAAGCAATTCGGTGCCCAATTCATATTTTTCTTTTTTTTATTTTTTGTGACCAAAATTTGAAGTTGGTCATTCAATAGTTACTGAGATATGCGAGGTTGATGTGTGGCTGGCTCCGCTCTTAATACTGGTATTGAAACAGATTGTACGTTTTCAAAAATGCATAATTCGATTTTGATGAAACATGACAAGCATTGTTACTACACTTTACTGAATATTTGACAGAAATTTAAAGTTGAATCGTTCAATAGTTTTTAAGATATGCGAGGTTGATGTGTGGCTGGCTCCGCTCTTAATACTGGTATTGAAACAGATTGTACGTTTTCAAAAATGCATAATTCGATTTTGATGAAACATGACAAGCATTGTTACTACACTTTACTGAATATTTGACAGAAATTTAAAGTTGAATCGTTCAATAGTTTTAAGATATGCGAGGTTGATGTGTGGCTGGCTCCGCTCTTAATACTGGTATTGAAACAGATTGTACGTTTTCAAAAATGCATAATTCGATTTTGATGAAACATGATAAGCATTGTTACTACACTTTACTGAATATTTGACAGAAATTTAAAGTTGAATCGTTCAATAGTTTTTAAGATATGCGAGGTTGATGTGTGGCTGGCTCCGCTCTTAATACTGGTATTGAAACAGATTGTACGTTTTCAAAAATGCATAATTCGATTTTGATGAAACATGACAAGCATTGTTACTACACTTTACTGAATATTTGACAGAAATTTAAAGTTGAATCGTTCAATAGTTTTTAAGATATGCGAGGTTGATGTGTGGCTGGCTCCGCTCTTAATACTGGTATTGAAAACAGATTGTACGTTTTCAAAAATGCATAATTCGATTTTGATGAAACATGACAAGCATTGTTACTACACTTTACTGAATATTTGACAGAAATTTAAAGTTGAATCGTTCAATAGTTTTAAGATATGCGAGGTTGATGTGTGGCTGGCTCCGCTCTTAATACTGGTATTGAAACAGATTGTACGTTTTCAAAAATGCATAATTCGATTTTGATGAAACATGACAAGCATTGTTACTACACTTTACTGAATATTTGACAAAAATTTAAAGTTGAATCGTTCAATAGTTTTTAAGATATGCGAGGTTGATGTGTGGCTGGCTCCGCTCTTAATACTGGTATTGAAACAGATTGTACGTTTTCAAAAATGCATAATTCGATTTTGATGAAACATGACAAGCATTGTTACTACACTTTACTGAATATTTGACAGAAATTTAAAGTTGAATCGTTCAATAGTTTTTAAGATATGCGAGGTTGATGTGTGGCTGGCTCCGCTCTTAATACTGGTATTGAAACAGATTGTACGTTTTCAAAAATGCATAATTCGATTTTGATGAAACATGACAAGCATTGTTACTACACTTTACTGAATATTTGACAGAAATTTAAAGTTGAATCGTTCAATAGTTTTTAAGATATGCGAGGTTGATGTGTGGCTGGCTCCGCTCTTAATACTGGTATTGAAACAGATTGTACGTTTTCAAAAATGCATAATTCGATTTTGATGAAACATGACAAGCATTGTTACTACACTTTACTGAATATTTGACAGAAATTTAAAGTTGAATCGTTCAATAGTTTTAAGATATGCGAGGTTGATGTGTGGCTGGCTCCGCTCTTAATACTGGTATTGAAACAGATTGTACGTTTTCAAAAATGCATAATTCGATTTTGATGAAACATTGCAAGCATTGTTACTACACTTTACTGAATATTTGACAAAAATTTAAAGTTAAATCGTTCAATAGTTTTTAAGATATGCGAGGTTGATGGGTGGCTTGCTCCGCTCTCAATACTGGTATGGAAACAGATTGTACGTTTTCAAAAATGCATAATTCGATTTTGATGAAACATGACAAGCATTGTTACTACACTTTACTGAATATTTGACAAAAATTTAAAGTTGAATCGTTCAATAGTTTTTAAGATATGCGAGGTTGATGTGTGGCTGGCTCCGCTCTTAATACTGGTATTGAAACAGATTGTACGTTTTCAAAAATGCATAATTCGATTTTGATGAAACATGACAAGCATTGTTACTACACTTACTGAATATTTGACAGAAATTTAAAGTTGAATCGTTCAATAGTTTTTAAGATATGCGAGGTTGATGTGTGGCTGGCTCCGCTCTTAATACTGGTATTGAAACAGATTGTACGTTTTCAAAAATGCATAATTCGATTTTGATGAAACATGACAAGCATTGTTACTACACTTTACTGAATATTTGACAAAAATTTAAAGTTGAATCGTTCAATAGTTTTTAAGATATGCGAGGTTGATGGGTGGCTTGCTCCGCTCTCAAAACTGATATTGAAACAGATTGTACGTTTTCAAAAATGCATAATTCGATTTTGATGAAACATGACAAGCATTGTTACTACACTTTACTGAATATTTGACAAAAATTTAAAGTTGAATCGTTCAATAGTTTTTAAGATATGCGAGGTTGATGGGTGGCTGGCTCCGCTCTTAATACTGGTATTGAAACAGATTGTACGTTTTCAAAAATGCATAATTCGATTTTGATGAAACATGACAAGCATTGTTACTACACTTTACTGAATATTTGACAGAAATTTAAAGTTGAATCGTTCAATAGTTTTTAAGATATGCGAGGTTGATGTGTGGCTGGCTCCGCTCTTAATACTGGTATTGAAACAGATTGTACGTTTTCAAAAATGCATAATTCGATTTTGATGAAACATGACAAGCATTGTTACTACACTTTACTGAATATTTGACAGAAATTTAAAGTTGAATCGTTCAATAGTTTTTAAGATATGCGAGGTTGATGGGTGGCTTGCTCCGCTCTCAATACTGGTATGGAAACAGATTGTACGTTTTCAAAAATGCATAATTCGATTTTGATGAAACATGACAAGCATTGTTACTACACTTTACTGAATATTTGACAAAAATTTAAAGTTGAATCGTTCAATAGTTTTAAGATATGCGAGGTTGATGGGTGGCTTGCTCCGCTCTCAAAACTGATATTGAAACAGATTGTACGTTTTCAAAAATGCATAATTCGATTTTGATGAAACTTGACATACATTGTTACTACTCCTTACTAAATATTTGACAAAAATTTAAAGCTGGAACATTCAATAGTTTCTGAGATATGCGAGGTTGTGTGGCTGGCTCGGCGCTCAATACTAACATTTAAAGTTCAAATCATTTCTAAATATGCCGTGGGCCCTCATTTTTATTTCGTGGACCCCCAAATTTTAATATCCCTGCCGTGGACCCCTTGAAAATTGCCATGGACCACTGGGGGTCCATGTGGACCACTTTGGGAATTACTGGTCTAATTTAATCCAGAAGCCGGTTAGAATCTGATACGAATTTAACAAGATCCAGTTAGTACAATGAGAATACGGTAAGAAGTCTGATATGAAGTTAATAAGATTTTGTTAAAAATCTAATTAGATAAGGATCTTTGAGTCTATTAAGGGGGCGTCCATTAATCATGTGATAAATTGGGGATTTTTTTAAAGGATTTTTGGATCTGTTTCCACTTTGGTGATACGTGGTGATTTCAAAATTACTCCACGTGTATTTCTTGTTATGAGAATAAGCTGTAATTTTGTTTTCAAAGTATTCGGTTTTTTTCTGTTTGAAAACTTCAGTTAAAAAATAAATACACGTGGTGATATCTTAATATTCCACGTGATATCTTAATATCATTAATAATATATAGATTTTTATTACCAGGTTCTAAAATGCAGACTGTACAGCGGCAATTTTTTGAGAGCAGAAATGATCAGAACTCTAAAGCAATTTACGGATTAGCCTAAATTTGATCAATATGTCAACTTCGGAAGAAACTGCTGAAAATTCTGGAGAAAATGCAGGAGAGAGAAAGATGTGTCGAGATTTTCAACGTGGTGTCTGTCGGAGACACCAGTGCAAGGTAATAATATGAAATCTTTTATTTGATTTATTTATTTATTCAGTGATAACAAACTTTCCGAAGGAAAAGTTTATGGTTTTATGATAAAATCCGAATTGCTAATTTTATTTAGTTTTCTCGACATTTCAAGCCATTCTGAATCGAAGAGACCAACTTCCAAATTTTGAACAATTTAGGGAATATAAAAACTTCGAAGGATATCATTTGGAAATCAAGCTGATTAGTTTTTGGAATATTATGTAATAAAAGTTTGACTTTAAAATTAAGGATTAATGTATTCTTATCAAGTATGCATTTTTTTTAAAAAAAAATCTATATATGATTTTTACTATCTTTTCAGTTTAGGCACGAAATCTCAAATACAGCACCCGATGGAGTAATGTTTTGTCACGACTTTCAAAATCGAACTTGTACGAGAATTAATTGCAAGTACGTAATACCTGATTGTTTCATTGTTTCATATTATTGTTGAATTTATTTTTTATAAATGTTTACAGATTTCTACATTATTCTGTTACGGATGAAATATTCTTCAGAACAAACGGGTATTTTCCTCATGAGGCAGAAAATGTGATGCGTGATAGAGGAAAAGGAGGACCGGCTTGCAAAGATTTTATTTTGGGCTCTTGCAGGTATAATAATAATAGATAGTAGTAAAAAATAAGTTTATTATATGCATACTTATTTTTAACTTCCCGTAGGGTAAGTCATAGTAATCGCAAAAAATAGATTTTTAAATTTTAAAGTTCACTTATACCATTCAAACAAATTTCAAAATTTTCAGAAAATTTGTTTTCACAAAATTTTCAAAAATATGCAAAGTTTTATACTTTAAATATAAATTTTAAATTTACAATTCAGTTTAAAAATGTATATATTCCATATGCGTTATTGTAATCGTAAGAAATATATCCTCAGATTCGGCATCTCTTGTTAATGTAAACATTCTTAAGTGTTTTGAGCGATAAGATCGTTACTGTATATTATATGAACGATAACATATATAGTAATTAAAATTATCTCTTTGAAAATACTTAAAACAATTGTTTTTAATCATTGATCAATATTTCTTTATTATTATTAACTTCCCGAAGGAGAGGTTTATGTTTTCATAAAAAAATCCGATTCACTAATTTTATGTTTTCTCGACGTTTCAAGCCATTCTGAATCGAATGAGACCAAATTTGGAAAAAGTATGTGTGTGTGTGTGTGAACAGATTTTTTGCCGTAAATCGACGTTTTCTCAAAAACGGTTGGACCGATTTCAAAAATTTAAAAGCCATTCGGTGTATCTCGATGAGGACTATTGTTTGTCAGTTTTGTGCGACGATCGGCCAAACCGTTTCTTTGTAAATAGCAGAGAAGTGAAAAGTTTTTCGTCCACGTTTTAGCCCGCAATTCTGAACTGATTTTGAAAATTCAAAAATCGTTCGAAAGATATTGGTTGGGAATCGTGCTGATTAGTTTTTGGTAGAGATCGGCCAGGCCGTTTTCTTGTAATAAAGTTTAAAAAAAAAATCGACGATTTTTATGATTATTTTTTTGACGGTAGATACCATTGTCTTTTAGATCATACTAAAATATTACGGCCCTACGACAACTGGTTTAGCTTTAAAAATTCGTCGTTGCAAAATGAAAGTTTGCAAAAATTAATATGGTCTTTTTGGCATTTGTCAAAATTAGAACTTTCATTGACGTTTTCTCAAAAACCCCTGAACCGATTTCAGAAATTTAAAAGCCATTTGATGTATCTCAATTAGGACTATCGTTTGTCAGTTTTGTGTGACGATCCGCCAAGCCGTTTCTTTGCAATTTGAAAAAAAGTGTTAAACTTTTCGTACACATTTAAGCTCAAACTACCGAATCGATTTAAAAAAATCAAAAACTGTTCGAAAGATATTAGTTGGGAATGATACAGATTAGTTTTAGGTAAAAATCTACCGAGACGTTTTCTTGTAATTAACTGTTGAAAAAAAAAATTGAAGCCGATTTTTATGGAACTTTTTTTGGCGATATATACCATGGTCTTGTAGAACTTACTGAAATATTGCGGCCTTACGACAAGTAATTTAATTTAAAAATTAACTAAACTAAAAACATACTAAAGCATTAAAGTTCTATGGAAACTGGTTCAATTATAAAAATTGTTGATTTTTGAAAATTTGCTTTTGGAAAATACTCCGAGTTAACGTGTTCGTTCGTTTTCAATTATGTGTAATAAATCCACTCGGAATACTTTTAATCGATCATAAATTAATTCATATTTAATTGATTAAGTCGATTATTTACACAAATCGGGAAGTTCATGTAACTTGCCTCAAGGCTAAATACCAATATCAACTAGTTATTGTTTTTTGCCTTAAGGCACGATGCCATGCACCACTAGTATATTTTTTATCTCAGGCGCAGAAACGACTGCAAGTTCCGGCACATCACCTATGCACAGTATCAAGAAGAAAATGGAAATTCTGAAAATGGCCATGGTATTCGAAAACCTCACCAAATACCGAGTAATAATTTTCATGAAGAGCCCAAAAAACTGGTATCGTGGAGATTGAACAATAACATACGAAATTTGAGACAAGATTATGTGAAACAAGATATCGGTTACAACAGCATAGATGACAGACATCCAAATGAAATTAATGGTGTTTTGTACCAGACTCACGATGTGTCTGGTTATGATTCTTGTAGCGACTCTAGGGTCATTAGAGGTGAATACACAATTAATGGTGCAGGATATGATTCGTATGAACCTCCGGTTAAGAAGAGATTTTATGAAGATAAAACGAATACGTTTTATAACAGGTTTGGATAAATATTTACATTTTTAATTGTGTTTATACATAAACCGCCATTTTAGAAAACCGGTTTCGAATTTCAATTTTACTAAAAAACCGGTTTTAACCGGTTTTCGAATTTTATATAGAAAATAAATTTTTGCTCGAATATTCTGTAAATTATCCGCAAATTTGGTGTAATTTAGAGCAGCATTTGACTGATTATTTATTGTTCAATTTTATAGATAGTAAACATAATTATTTTGATTTTAATTAGTGGAACTAAAAAATAATAATTTATCTTGATTAAATAACTTTGAAAATAATTATTCGTTATTCATGCATCATTTTCACATATAAGAATGAAAATATTGTTATGATAGTGAAAGGAAAGTTTTTGAATAAATAAAATAATACATTTATAAATAAAAAAAATCATTAAATTAAAAAATAAAAGTAAAAAAAATATTAGATACATGTTGATACATACTTGTTAATATCAATTTTAGTTTTAAAAACAATTAAGCTAAACTCGTTCAGAGAAATTTTAATTAATTAATTTTAAATTCTAATTGTTTTTTGTTTAATAAAATTTGATTCCAAAAAACTGGGAACGTCTATTGAATTGCTACTTAGACGTGTCCTTTGTTTATTCACAAAATTTCCTGAAATAGAAAATACTCTCATACTTGCCAAATTGTGCTTAATTGTTTTTTAAAGTCTGATATAATAATTCTAAGTTTTTTGTTCTTTAATTTGTGGCTTCTAGGGTTTAAAACTCTTTTTTTAAGTTTGAGTAGAAGTTACTTCTTCAAGAAGAAGTCACATTGATTATTTAATACATACACTGGTATAAAAATTTAAATTAATATATTAGGTTGTCAAATATCATTACCCTTCCGCTTTTTTGCTCTTGGTTTATAATACAAAAAGGCGGAAGGGAGATATTTGACAACCTTATATATAAAACCTTTCTGGGAACCATTGCAGACTGATAAGATATCAAATGCTATTGAACCGATATGATTTCAAGAATCAAAACCCTTTCATCTATATAAAAGATTTGGCTATATTTATCATTTTCCATTTATACAGTAAAAACCGACTTTTTTCACTAAAAAACCGGTTTTCGAATTCCATAATTTTCGCCAAAAAACCGGTTTTTTGAAAACCGACAAACTCTAATTTTTAAATTCTTTACCTAAAATTGAATATTACCATGTTGTTAATTCATTTTGCAGGATTCCTTTGGAAGAACAGAATATTATATTGAGAAAGCAAGTAGAAGAATTACGGAAACAGGTAAATGGACATGGAAATAGTTATGATTTTTAAACATACTTTAAACTTAAATTTAATTTACAGGTTTCTGATCTGACGGCAACAAATGAATTTTTGTTGGAACAAAATGCACAGTTGCGTATGGGAGGTTCCAGACAAGGAAATGTGACTGCAGTCACAGTGCCTGCTGTTACTATAACAAACACTACGGTTCCACCTACAACTCAACCTCAGCCACAGGTATAAATCAACCATTTTACTAAATTCTAGGTCAGAAAAATATAAATTAAAATTTAGTAAACAAAAAAACACTTACTGACTGAAAGCGTGGTGAAAAATTATTCGATTACTAAAATGGCTATTATGAAAATGATTGATTTGTAAAAGGAGGGTGAAAATTGTGTTTATTTTATAATTCCGCATTATGAACAATAAAATTAAAAGAAACTTGATTCCAAAATTAAAAAGAAAATTTAGGCATGGACAACCCTTGATAAAAATAAATAGTTTTTTTTTAAGTTAAAAGTGTTCCATGTGTTTTTCAATTTCGAATTATATAAAATTAAAATTCTAGCTTACCAAGATTTGGTGCGTTGTTAATCTATATATCTTATATATAAAATTCTCGTGCCACAAAGTTCGTTTCCGTACTCTTCCAAAATGGCTTTACTGATTTTTTTAAATTTTATATGCGTATTCAGTAGGTCTGAGAATCGGTAACTATCTACTTTCCCTACTCCTAAGCGATAAGGGTAGTTCTTCGCCCTCAATTTTTTTTTGTTATATTTGGACGGAATTTTTTGTTCTTATTTTTTTTATAATGTGGCATTAACAAATACATGCAACCTAAAATGTTTACTTTTTTACCACCAACCCCTATTTTTTATAGCCACTTTAGCAATTCAATCATTTTTTCAGTCAATAAATATCTTTGACATAGAGACTTATCAAGTGTTGTCCACCCCAATTTTTTTAAATTTTGTAATCAATTTTCTTTTAGTTTTAATCTGACCGTTGTTTGACATAATTTTATTAAAGATTTTTTTGAGTACATATACGGAAAAGCTTAAATTTTACTTCAAAATAGAATCTATTATTATTAAGGGTTGTCCGACCCTAAAATACTTTTCTTAATTTTGGGGTCAACTTTTTTTTTATTTTAATTTTATTTAATGCGGAATTGACAGAATATATACAAATCTTTTTACGTAAAAATTCTATTAATTTTTATCAAGGGTTGTCCACCCTCAATATTTTTTTTAAATTTTGCGACAGATTTTCTTTATTTTATTTTTCTATAATTTGAAATTGAAAAAGACACATAACTCTCTCTATTTCGAAAAACTATTTATTTCTATCGAGGGTTGCCCACCCCTATTTTTTTAAATTTTGAGATCAACTTTTTTTAGCTTTAATAATTTTAGTTGATTTTTTTTGAGTATATGAAATAGATTAAATGTTACTTTAAAAAACAATTGTCCAACTCTAACAAATTTTTTCAATTATGAGGTCAATTTTTTTTAAAGTAATTGTTTTAATGCGGAATTGAAAAATACATACAATTCTTTTTACTTTAAAATACCATTTATTTTCATCAAAGGTTGTCCACTCCTAATTTTTTTTAAATACTGAAATCAATTTTTCTTGAATTTTAATTTTCATAATGTGGAAATAAAAAAATGCACACTACTCTAAATTTTCACCCTCCTCGTCAAATCTCTATTTAATTGATATTTTTGACCTTATGACAAAGTATTAATTTTACATACAAAGCAATTTATTTTTATCAAGGGTTATCCATCCTTTCCAATTTCCCATTGTACAAATATTTTCCGATGCGCACAAACAGTACATAGTTGATAAAGAGCAATTTTCGCAAAGAAATAGAGATTGAATATTAGAATATGAAGATACAACAGTTTTTGATAGAAAATTATAGGTACCATACAAATCAATGGCAAAGCTGTAAAATTTTCCACTATCTTAATTTTTTTTGTCACATAACAATATAATTTAAAAATGAAATATCGAATTTTGATTCGTCATTCAAAAATTACTGAATTAATAAAAAGCGCGGTAATAATATATCAAAATCTTGAAACATTAATGTGCCAATTCAATTTAAATAGAATCAGTTTCAGAATAGGTTGACTCTTGCAAAGACTATTAAGATACATTTATATGTGGATTGCTTTGCAGTGAGTAAACCATTCATATATTTATTGTTAGGTGCTCCTTTCCTTTATGCACCACATTTGCAATCAGTTATTTTCGTACTATACATATATATATATATATTATATATATATATCTATATATATATAATTGAGTACAGACTACTGTTTCATTTATCAGGTCATCAGGACGGTCACTGCCAGTGTGGCAACTGTTCCAGTCTCAATAGGCGCAGTTTCCATGGCACCAGTTCAGGTTGCGGCACCAATAGTTAGTATGGCTACACCTCAAACACAAATTATTGGTATGTATATAAAAATTGAGTTCATCTTACAAAATCTAATTATAAAAATTGAATTCATCTTACAAAATGTATTTATTTTCTTTTCTTTAGCCAACAGTGCACCAATAGCAATTGCAAGTAACTCGCAGCAGTTGGCGCTGGCGCAGCAGAGTCTGACTGGGCCAGCTACTGCTCCGAATCAGATAATCACGAGTTCAACGCAGCAGCAAATACTTGCTTCAAATACTCAACTGACTTTGTCCAACGCTCAGCCGACGGGACAGCAGATTTTAACACCTATAGGTAATAATAGAAAATAAACTAGTGGGGCGCATGGCATCGTGCCTTAAGGCAAATTGCTGGAACTTCCCGTACCAAATTTTTTTTTTTTTTTAAATTAACATTTTTGAAAAAAATTGACCCTGAAAAATTAGATTTTTGAGAAACTATAAATTTTTGACAAAAATTTACTTTTTTTGAAAGAAAGACTTTTTGAAGAAAAGTGTATTTTGAAATATTTTGGAAATCCTGAACTTCAAAGCAATCGCACAGCTTTAACTGCCGCGTCGCGGTCTAATGGATAAGCATTGGTACGGAACCCATAAGAATGTAAACAAAATTTATACTTATTATTAAATCTATAAAATACTGATATTTTGATGTGCATATGTCTAATGATCATTTTTGACCGCCAAATGGCATTTTTTTACTTTTTTATTAGATCTCCAAAACCGCTAGACCTGCCTTCATGAAAATATGATCAATTCTTCATATTGCCAAAACAAGTAATGTTTTTTGAATTATTAAAATCGGACGCTCCGTTCTCCTAAAAACTGAGTTACCATTTTTGGCACTTTTTGCCCCGTATATTCGAAACGGCTAGACCTGCTTTTGCCAAAATCTAATCAGCACGTCTCTTTATCAATACGAATCGAATGTTTTTTGAATTATTCAAATCGCTTCATCCGTGTTCCCGAAATCGTCGACGAAAATTTGTATCCGAACACACATACACACACGCACACACACACACACACACACACAACATACACACACACACACACACACATCCATTTTTTCTAAGGTATGCCAAAATACTCAGAAACCTCTGAAACGTAAAGATATATAAAAATTTTCATTTTCGATTTTTTTGCGATTACTATAACTTACCCTACGGGAAGTTAAATAGATTTCGAAATTAAAAAAAAAAACTAGTGGTGCATGGCATTGTGCCTTAAGGCAAATTGCTGAAACTTCCCGTACCGCTTGAACATAAGAAATAACTTATGTGTATGTTTACAAGAAATTTGTCCATTTTTTTTTTAAATTTGAAAATTATTATTTTTTAATTTTGAAAGTTTTTTGAAAGTTCGAAATTTTTTTGAAATATGGAAATTTTTGAAAATATTCTTTTTTTTTTAAATTTCGAAATATTCTCAGATTTTTGTAAGAAATTTAAATTTTTTAATTTGATATTTTTTTCAAATTTTGATATTTTTTGAAATTTCTCAAAATTTATATTTTCTTTGAAATCATAAAAAAAATTCGAAAACTTGATTTTTGTTTTGATAATTTTTGTCCTTGTTTTTGCTCTCAATTCTGAATCGATTTTAAAAAATCAAAAACCGTTCGAAAGATATTGATTGGGATAATATACTCATTTGTTTTAGGTGAAAATCTACCGGGCCGTTTTCTTGTAATTAACTGTTGCAGAAAAAAAAAATCCCGTTTTTATGAAACTTTTTTTGACGATAGATATCATAGTCTTATAGAACATACTAAAATGTGACGGCTCTACGACAAATAGTTTAATGTTAAAAATTCATCAAAGTTTGAGAAAATATTGTAGTCAAAATTTGTGTCAAAAGTTGCTTTTGTAATGTGATCAGTCAAACATTATCAATTCAATAAAATTTATAATAATAATATCAAATTTAGGGCATACAAGCACAATTAACATAATTCTGTTAATTTAAAAGTGTTTGAGAAAATTCTATTCGAAATCGCAATGTTCAGATTTAACGAAAGCGATATCTTTAATTTGAAATAAACAGTTGAAAATTTCATCTAAATATCTAAATCTAAATGTCGATTGATTAAGTTAATCCCTGCACATTTCGGGAAGTTTATGCAACTTGCCTTAATGCCAAATGCCACTTTCTACTAATTAATTTTTTTTACCCAGGTGGTCCAGGACAGCAGCTGGCAATGGCCCAACAAAGTCTTGCTCATAACACTTCCCAGGCCTTGGCGATGTCTAATGCCTCACAACCAATTATATCGTACCCAATAATGACACAAAGTATTTTACCTCATTAACGAAATAAGGTATGGACACTTTTCCTACAGTGATTCGAAATATTTTAACCGAAAAGGTACTTAATATATTTTTTAGTTCGAATATTGTAAATTATTTATCATCATAATAATTATATTTGATTGATTGAATTGAAAATTATGCACTATAGGGAATTACATAATTTATTTTATAGTATTGATGTGATTAATATATTTTAAGACTCATGTAAGAATAAATTTAAGACTATATCTATATTTATATTTTTATATCATGATTCTAGTTTTTAGTAAATCACATTACTTTTGCTATAGATCAAAATTCATTTGAAACATTATAAAAAAAAAAATTTCAATTTTCTGAGATTTTATTATGATCTAATTTTATTTTTCTAGATATAGAATATAAAAATTGTATAAAGATATAGATATTGTGTGGAGTTTTACAGAAGTTAATGATACATCTAAATATAATTTATTTTTTATGATCTTTCTGTAATATTTTATGATAATATAATTAAGTATTAGAATGTACTGTTTCTAATTCTTTATTATTCTAATTATTCTTCTAATTATTCTATTTATTATTCTCTTTATTCTTCTATTTTTTTGATTTGACCTATATATATATATATATATATATATATATAAATATATTAGGGTGGCCCTTAATATAGATGTCTTTTAGATAGTTCGCAAATCAATCAAAGTTTTGTATGGAAATAGCATGGAAAAAAATTTGAAAATCAAAAAAAAAAAATTTCGGTATAACTTAGCGACAAATGAATTAAAAGTGAAAATTCGTGTCATTTTTTATTCAAAATTCGTCGACGCTCTGAAAATTTTTGAAAATTTTTTCATGCTATTTCCATACAGATCTTTGATTGAATTGCGCTCTATCTAAAAGACAATATTAAGAGCTAAAACTTTCAGAGAATTGTTTTTTTATCAATTTGGAACCATTTGAGCCTCTGGGAGCAAGGAAATTCGAAAATGTCCATATTAAGGACCTAGGGTGGTCCTACATATATATAAAAATAAGTCGGGTTTTCCTTCCTGACGATTTAACTCCAGAACGCACAAACCGATTTCGACAATTTTGCATTCGTTGGAAAGGTCTCGGGCTCCGCAAGGTTTATAGCTAAGAAAATTGGTGGTGCATGACATCGTGCTTCAATGCAAATTGCTGGAACTTCACGCACCGTAATTAAAAATTCGAGTAATGAAAATAATCAATAATTGTTTTAAATAATTTCAAATAGATTATCTAAAAATTCGAGTAATGACATTAGTGAGAATTATCAGAATTATGCTTGATTAAGTCAACTAGTAATTCTTGCCTCAAAGAATAATGATGCACACGCCCTGAATTTCACCATTAAATCAAAAATTGCTGGCGATTTGGTGACACACCAATGATTCCGACTGGTCTTCCGTTTGACTTCAAACGATTGCAATTTCCAGTTCGCCTTGCGTTCGCAATAACAAGTCGCTTAAGTGTTTGCGGGATAAATTTCAAATAGATTATTTAGAAAATCATTGTTTTTCACATGGACAGTCATACGTTGCCTGTACACGAGTTGGAAAACCATCCGCTTTGTTTGTGTTAACGTCAGACCAAAAAACAAAAAAGGTGGCTTACCAAAGAGCATTTCAATGAAACGGATAATTTGCGGATACACTTTCATTTACTTAGAGAAGTTCAACTAAAAAACACTTCATTTTTGTAATCGAAATAAATTCATTACTGTTGTGTAATAAAATCAAAATTTTCCTTTTCGAATATAAAGCAAACAAAAAATTTCTTCATCTTTCTCACGAAAACATCTGGTGGCGAAACGTAGTTCGTCGGGTTTGCTAGTATATATATATATATATATATATATATATATATATATATATATGGGGTATGTAAATTTGGTGTTGATATATTAAAACGAGTGTGCTGAGTCGGGTAATATCACCAAGTAAAAAAAAAAACTAAAGCAATTAGGGAAACAGGTTTATTAATCCATATGTTTGTCTTCATCGAGACCGTCATTCAGTGGAAAACTTAAATTGGTAATTAATACATTAATTACAAATAAACTTTTTAGTTTCACAGGGTGGTTACATATATGTTCACAGGGTTTCTTCTGCAGTTTCAAAACAACAACATCGATTCATTGGAAACATCCTCCAATTGCAGATGTTTTGTATCTTTCACAAAAAATTGTTCATCATCATTGAATGCTGCACTATTTGCATCACCTACACCTGATTGGAAATTTCTATTTTGCCTAATCTTTTGTTTTTCTTTCATGCGTTGTCGTCTGAGGGCCAATCTTACGTCGAATCTTGGAATTCTACATAAATAGAAAAAAAAAACTTATGGGCCAATGTTGTGTCAAGGCTATGTTACGCTCTAACTTGCATACATTATGCTACTGAATCATAATGGATAATTTCAAAATGTTATGTGTTTGCTGTGCATTCAGGCGTTTTACACATAAACTGCAACGCCACTCGTATGTTATGAAGCTGGGTCAGAAAGACCATGTTATCTAGTATATAAGGTTGTCAAATATCTCCCTTCCGCCTTTTTGTATGAGAGCAAGAGCAAAACAGCGGAAGGGAGATATTTGACAACCTAATAGTTTTTTAGACATTTGTGCGTGTTCTAGGTTGGGTTTTAGATGTGGCAACGTGAGAAATATGCCTGACTGCTCAGCAACCACATGGCTCTGTCAATATTTAGTATGAAAAGCTCTTCATAACATGGCCTTGCCATAACATTGGTCTGTTATGCGGAAGAATCGGTCCCTTAATTTTATATTTTTATTCTATATCGTACCGTTCTCCAGCAAAAACTCGCTTTTGTAAAGCCACCAAATCGTGTCGAGCATCTGCTAGTGCCAGTAGGACAAAATCAAGAGAGTCACGTTGACCGACTGGTCCAGGTGGTCCTGGTGGACCAGGCATTCCTGGTGCTCCCATAGAACCTGTAGCACCTGGTGGCCCCTTTGAATAATATTGTAGTTAATTTCAAAACTAAGGTAATTAATAATACTCCAGTCAATAGAGCATTTTGGGTCTGAATTTTTTTACTGTGCTCCAATTTGCATGAAATTTTGGAACTGGGTTCATTGGGGAGATGAAAACCCTTCGTAGTGGTGTAATTTTATTTTTTTTGAAATAACGTCGGATAGAAGAACTAATTATAAGAAAAAAGTTTTATAAAGTTTAAAAAAAAAACAAATATTTTTCGAGTTACTGGCTACTAAAAATTCGTTTCTTTTTGGTATTTTTCATCGTTTTTTTGCAAATATCTCCAAAAATATACATTTTAGCGAAAATTTTGTAATGAACAAAATTAAATAAAAAAAACTATGTCAATTAAATAAATCGGTGTTTTATAAAGTGTTCTAGGAACAATATTAAGCTAGATATGAAAGAGCAAAGCTGTTTTTTATTTCTTCCAAGATTTAATTGTTGTATTTGGAGCTAACTAGCGGCTAGGTGTTACATTTTATTCATTCCAGTGGAATGGGGTTTTATAGTGCATGAAATAAGTTTTAAAATGAGTAGTGTTAAGGGTCTATCATGCAAATAAAAGACGCATACAATTTTTTTTCATTTAAATCAAACGCTTTTATGAGTACCTGAAAATTAATCGTTTTCTATCTACAGTTAACTTGGTACAAAAAATTTTGATGGATTCTGGCATATACCACAACTTTAGTACAAACAGTTTTGAAAAACCTTACGATTTCATGAAAAAAATTCCATTTTTTTTTTTAAAAAACAACTAATTTTCATTATACCTCAGAAAGAATAAAAAATTCGTATGAAAGTATATAGATGAAAATGCAAGCAATGCAAATGCAAAATGCTTTTTCTTGCCAATTATTGCTTTTTATTTATGATAAACTCTGATTTTATTCTATAATTAAATAATTTTTAAATATAAATTATAAATATTATTAAATGTTTTTATTTAAGGTAGTTCTAAGGGTTGAAATAATTTATAGATATGGCAATTATTTTTGAGAATTTGAAATAAACAAATTATTATTTTTTTTTAATTTAGAATAATTTTTTTAAACAGTTTTTCATAAAGGGGTTGTTTTTTTAAGGGTCAAAAAGGTTTAAAAAATTCGATACATAAGATAAAGAGGGTAAAATATAATTTACTTTACACTTAAATCTTTTTATGTTCAACTAAAATTTATTTTTAGGGGTTTTTATAATTCGCAAGGTTTGAACTTAAGGGTAAGAGTAGCCTATTTCCAAAATTTCATATAAATCGGAGCACAGTAAAAAAATTCTCTGGTTACACTATTTTTCTCTCACCATTTACTGCACTATAAGACAAAATATCAATGATATATTAATATTTATGTAACAAAATTTTCAACTTGGACAGATCGAATTTACAGGAAATAAGTTTTGCCATTCGGAGGTTAGATTTCATGTGTAAAACTCATACGAATTTAGACCCGTAACACAACAATTACATTTTATCCGATAGTTGATTCCTATGCTGAAGATAAACAAGAGAGATGACGAAGTTGTCATTTGTCTTAGGAGATTGTATAACTAAAAATGTAAAAAAAATATTTACAATAGGTCCACGTTTGCATTTGCAAAATTCTCGTTCTCCAGTGTTTTCATTCAAGACTTGTACAAATGAATTAAATGCAAGAGATGCATCTTCAGGCTCTGCCTCATCTGAAATAAAATTTGATATTGTCAAGATGATAGAAAAAATTGACAAATTCTTGTAGTACCTGAATTTTTCAATGGCAGTTTTTGGAAATCTGTATTTAACTCGAGTGCTGCAGTCAAGGCTAAAACTTGGTTTTGGAGAGATCGCATTTGATCATTTCTCTCAGACAAAATTTGCCTAATTTCAGCAATTTCATTTTGTAGAGATGGACGCACAGAATTCAATTCCTGATGAAGAAATATATACAAAATACTATAATTTTTCAAATAGTAAAAGGTAAATAATTAGACACAAAATAATATTTCTATTATATATTATAATACAATAATGAATTTTTTTAACAGGCTTTCATCCAGATATTGAAATTTGAAACTTGTCCAATTGAAGAGAAAATTTGTCAATAATCGATCAAGGAAAAAGATGTCAAATATTTCTTGTTCGGGTCTTGTGTACAAGTCTTTCAGAGATTTGAATCCATTGAAGAATGATCAAGTTGGGATTCGAAAAGTACGTAAGTCATACTATTTTTTTAAACATAAATTGTAGTTATAGGAATCGCAAAAAAATCGTAAATGAAATTTGTTTTATACATCTTTACGTATCAAAACTTTCTGAACATTTTGGCATAGGATAGAGCGGGGCTAGTTGAGCAAATTTTTACTTAAACGGATGTAGCTCCTCAACGAAAAGTCTCAATAAATTGCTATACGGCTTAATGGATTTGTTGTTTATCGCTTAACAAAAGTGTTAATACTATTTTTTGGTGATAAGTAAAATTACAGCTGTTTAAATGCAAAAAGTCAAGTATGCTCAATGTACCCCATAGGTCGGGCAAGTTGAGTATAATGAAATCATAGGTTCAATGTCGATTAGTGATGAAATAAAATAAGTTTTTAATAACCAGTTCTATATTTTATAGTCTTTATTGATAGAGAAAACAAAACTTATAGTAATTTTCTTTAAATAATTAACCAAAAGTAGAATCAACAAAACAATAAAATAGTTTTCGAGATATTTCGATTGCTCAACTTGCCCCTATGCTCAACTAGCCCCGCTCTACTCTACCATAGAAAAAATTGATGTGTGTATGTATGTAGTATGTATGTAAGGATACAAATTTTCTTAGACGATTTCGGGACAGTTCAACCGATTTGTATGATTCAAAAACCTTTCTATTCCTATTGATAATGAGACGTGCTGATTAGTTTTTGGCAAAGCCAGGTCTAGCCGTTAGGGAGCAAAAAGTACCAAAAATGGTAATTCAGTTTTTGAGAGGACGAAGCGTCTAATTTGAATGATTTGTTTCAAAATTTTCAAAAATCTCATTTTTGCAAACTTTCCCAAGTTCTTTTTAAAAAATTTATTTTGCGGTACGGGAAGTTCCAGCACTATGCCTTAAGGCACGACGCCACTAGTTATTTTCAATATCTGGATCGTTGCCCGCACAAAACTTGTACGTATTTAATTATAATTAAGCTAAATTATGAATTAATAATTTTACCTGGCAATGGTGCCCATTTGAACTTATCTGATACCCTTGTTCGCACAGACATCTGTAACTTCCAGCAGCATTTTCGCAAATCTGTTCACATCCTCCATTGTTTTCACGGCATTCGTCGATATCTTTAATAAAAAATCAATATATATATATATATATATAATATATATATATATATATATATATACTAGGTAACACGACAGACATTGTCCTGTACCCATGTATACTACTCAAAAGTTCCAAATTTTTTAATATCCCATTCTATACTTTTTAATATTTTTTTTGATTTCCTGCCTTTGTGATTCATTTATGGTCTTTGCATAAGCAGTATAAGAAATTCAGAAAAAAAATAATACAGTATTTGCGGTAAAAGAACAATATAACACTTGATTTTACTACACAACATAATTGCTTCAATAATTTAGTTATAATTTTCATAAGCTCGCACGATATATTAGTTGCTGTTTGCAACTAATATATCATACTTATACGGTTCAAACAAATTTCAAAATTTTGTGAAAAGAAAGTTACATTTCATATATTTCATACGGTTTTATAGTGCTCTTTTATAGTTTTTTATTGTATGAAATTTTGGAATTAGGTCTCTCTTACTCTCAAGTTCAAAAGTGAAAATAATTTAGACTCCTGTGCCACTTCACAGGGGGATGAAAAATGTTTTATAATGTTTTTCAAAAAAGCAAATACTTAACAAGTTACTGGCTATTGAAAATTCGTTACTTTTTGGCGTTTTTCGTCGTTTTTTTGGCAAATATCTTAAACATATACATTTTAACGAAAATCATGTCATGAACAAAATTATATCAATTAAAATCTTAAGAAATCCGTTTTTTATAAAGTGTTCTAGGAACAATATTCAGCTAAATATGAAAAAGTAAAGTCGTTTTTTTATTTCGTTCGAGATTAAGGTTTGAGGTGTTACATTTTATACATTCCATGGGGTTTTATAATGCTCAAAATAAGCTATAAAATGAGTACTGTTAAGAGTTTGTTTTTTTTTCATTTAAATCAAATAGTTTTATGAGTGTCATTTCCACTAAAATTTAAATTAATCGTATTTCATCTACAATTAACTTGGTTCAAAAAATTCCAAAATATCATGCAAATCAGTAGTAGTTATTCGAATTATTATTCAAAAAATGTGATTTAGTTATTATTACTGAAAACAATTGATATATAGTACGAGATTATAAAAATTGTGGACAACATTATTGAAGCAATTATTTTGAGTAAAAAAAATCCAAGGCGATATTGTACCTTTACTGCTGATACTATATATTAATTCTTTCTGAGTTCGTTATACTGTAATATATATATATTATATAGATATATATATATATATATTAGTTAGAAGTTTGATTTACCAGACAATAGGGTCGTTGAAAGTTGTCCACCGACACTTCGTAACCCACATCGCAGCTACATACAACTTTCCCAAGAAAATTTGGCAACGCTGATCGCAAACATTGCTGGAACAAATTTCGCTCCTTTTGGAAAAACAACTAAAATAAAATGTTTCAAAATTATATTTATTATTACCATAGACATTACACTACATGGACTGCTAGTAGTCTTCATATATTTTTCTTTGTATATAGTGCTCAAGCATAGAAGAAACTGTGATGTCACATGTCTGAGCGAACATTGCCGACTACAATCGCGGACTCTCCCGATTGATTGTCACATGTCATATGTTACGTGCCTAATATGGGTCTTGTAATATATAAACCTATTTTAACAGGCGCATTCGATTTTATTTACAAGGAAAATATTATCATTTCTTTAAGGGGCACAACTAGTGTAAACGCTTAAAAAAGGTGATTTTGGGAATTTATATTAAAAAAAACTTCTTTATCAATCATTTCAAAATTTTAAGAATATATTTATAATGTTTTTAAGAATACATAGTAAAATTTTTGAAGAAAAAAATTAAAGATTTTTTAAGTTATCGTCGATCTCCAACGGTGCGACAAAAAAAAGGCCCTTCACTGCTGCAGTGATTCCGGCCTTATAAGGGATGAAATTTAAAAAAAATTCTCGTTAAACTAGATAATATTGTCTGTAAAATACTACTACGAGAAAGAAAAAAAGAAAAAATGACAAATGACGGGTTTTTAAAAAAAAGTCGAATTTTACCCAAAATTCTGGTCGTTTTTGGACTGCAAAATTCGATTTTTGATCCGATCAAATATCGATAGTTCATTTTACGGAGAATATATATAGAACATGTAAAAAAAATTGATAGTGATCGGTCATTTGATTTTGAGAGTAATCGCTGCAGCAAATTCGGAAAACTATATACTATATATATACTCTTTAAATGGCTGTAACTCAAAAACTATTTAAGATATCGATTTAAAATTTTGGTATGTTATTTTTAGAGGTAAAACCTATCGAAATGTGGAAAAATTGAAAATTCGATTTTTTGAAAATTTCACACTAGTTGTGCTCCTTAAACCATCTCAATTGCCATTATGTTATTGAAATAAAACTATCACAGATAATATTTGAATTAAATTAACTATTATAAGAAATATTATTAATATAATTTCCTACAAAATTAGCAGTCCACACAATTGCCATTATATTATCGGGAGAGTTCTGCGATTGTCGTCGGCAACGGTCGCTCAGCAAGTGACGTCACATATCCATGTAATATAATTAGCAGTCCATGTAATATAAGGTTAATGATTATTATACTTACACTGTAACTGTTATCACTTATTAGTTTTTTCCCACAATTTTCTTTTCAACTTACTCAAATTTTGTTTCTCCTTGGTTCAGCCTCAAGTCTGCCAAATATCCATAACGAGTCACAGTACAATTAGAAATGCAATTAATTTTTCCAATAATTATGAGTATGAAATAAAACAATATCTTAGCACTATCGTACATATTAAATAAAATTCAAGTTTATAAATGCTAAATTTATCTGCCAATCGAGAGATGTTTAATAAATTCAGCGTGATCTCGAGATCAATATTAATTGAAGCGCATTGAGGACAGCTATCAGAGGCGCACTTGCTATCAAAGCACTTGAAAATAAAACTAGTGGTGTATGGCATCGTGCCTTAAGGCAAATTGCTTGAACTTCCCGTACCGTAACGAAATGTTCGAGGAATATTGAATGTTTTCAAATAGATTTTTATAAATACTGTAACATTTGTCTAAAAGTTGAAATTAATTATTTATTTAAATTATATAAGTGAGCTTTAGAACTTTAGCCAGAATTGAAATTAAAATCTGAATTATTTTCGATATACAAAACTACAAAAAAAATGAAATAATTTTTTTTCCAAAAGCAATTATTTTGTTAAAACAAGCAGAAAGTTTTTTGAGACATTTAAATCTGATGCTTAGTTCCCTCAAAAACTGCATTTTTTTAACTTCCCTTGGGCAAGTATAGTAATCGCAAGAAAATCGAAAACTAGCTGTAAGTGGAATTCTGTCTTAAGGCAATTAGGGCATCGTCCTTAAGGCAATTGCTAAAACTTCCCGTACCAAAATTATTATTTTTAAAAACGATTAACATTTTTGAAAGAAATTTACTTGGAAAAAATTAGATTTTTGAGAAACTATAAATTTGACAAAAAATTATTTTTTTGAAAAAAAAAAATTATATGAAAAAAAAAATTTTTTTTAAAAGAAAAAAAATTTTTTTGAAAAAAAAATTTTTTGGAAAAAAAAAATGTTTTCTTCATTTTGACATATTTTGGAAATTCTGAACTTTTTTTCAAAGCAATCGTACTGCTTGAACTGCAAAGAGACGAAATGTCAAAGCGCGTAAGCGCCGCGCCGCCGTCTAACGCATAAGCATTGGTACGGAACCCATAGAAATGTGAAAAAAAATTATACTTATTGTTAAAATCTCTTTAACATATCTGATAATTTGATGTGCATATGTCTAATGATCATTTTTAACCGCCGAATGGCAGTTTTTTTACTTTTTTTATTAGATCTCCAAAACCGCTAGACCTGCCTTCATGAAAATTTGATCAATTCTTCATCTTGTCAATACAAGTAAAATGTTTTTTGAATTATTCAAATCGGACGCTCCGTTCTCTTAAAAACTGATTTACCGTTTTCGACACTTTTTGACCCGTATCTTCGGAACGGCTAGACCTGCCTTCACCAAAAAACTAATCAGCACGTTTCTTTATCAATACGAATCGAATGTTTTTTTGAATTATTCAA